AATCATAATATTTAACATAATATATTATAACATTTTTAAAAAAAATCCATTACTGGGCTCATAAATAATTTGTTTCACCAAAACACCCCTTAACGGATTAAGATACAAAACCTTCTGAATTAAGATTTAAAAAAAAACAACAACTTCTAATACAATATAAAAAAAAAAAACAAAAAAACAACCACTTCTTATTGAAGATACTAAACCCACTCATACAAGAAGCAATACCTCTGCTGTAGTATGTGATTATGATCTATTACCTCCCCTTGAAACCGTTCATTTAAAATTACCTTGGCGCACGCAGCGTTTATTGAATTAACTTATAAAAATATCATAAATCATTTATTCTAACCACATATTTTATTGATACTTTCAAAGTTGATGTATCGGCAAGTTTCAAATAGGAATGCTTTGATGAAGCCCGAAAAAAAAATCAATTAAACCTTTTATCGCCATATTAATGTGCATATAGACGAATTTTTACTGCTAAAACTATTTTTAAAAGTTTTTTTTTGTTTTTTGTTTCAAAGCTGCTGCAAGTTGAGACCTTAACTAGAGTAGAGAGTGTCAAAAAAAACAATCATAAAACTCACAAATAATGCAAATTAAATAGAAATGAACACTTGATTTTAAATGTGGACATTAATCTCAAATTTGACCAGCCAGCTGATTTCGCGGGTATTTCACATGAATCTGCCGGTCAGATCAATTTAAATCTCCCATTCTCACAGCGAAAAAATCCCGACGATCCAAAACTGACCCACAATAAAATGTCTCAAGTCAACTACCTGACGGTAACTCCGCACCCCCCCCCCACTCCAGCGCCACCTGGCAAAATCGGGAGGTTTAGAATAAATTAGAATAATTTATTGGGCTCCCATTTACTTACAGCTGGCTGTTCACTTTTATATGTCAGCGTCAGGGAAGTTGGAATGAACAATTTGACTTTTTTAATTAAATGCTGAATGGATGTGTCTTGAACTAATCGATTCACGTGCCACGTGTCTGTGTGTGTGTTTGTGTCGGTGCGTGTGTTTGCTTCTGTGTGTGTGTGTGTGTGTGTGTCTATGTGTGTATTTTCACATACAAAAAAATTGTGAATATCTCAAATATGACACAAATATTTCACTGTTGAAGACTGTACATATAGTGTGTTCAATGTATCTCACTAGCTGTTGCACAGGGTATGTGATCGGTTGTTTTTTGGCGAAAACAGGACTGAAGCCCCCCTTGCCCACCCGTAGTTACGCTTTTGATGGGGTAGTTCAATGAGCTTTTAAGCAAACACCTTACTAAAACCACAAAATAATTCTGACAGCAAATAGGCTTTAACACTTGTAAAAATCCAGATGAGTCAATGATAGTCATTGCGACAACGTCCTTTCTTTTATTTTAAAGCAAACCAACCTTCTCAAAGTAAATGTATAGAATAAAAAGGTTTGCACATTTTTGCAACAATACTCAGAAAAAAAAAACCCATTACAATATGGATGCCCTTTGCTTTGGACCGAAACCTTACTGTGAGCTATTAATGATATGTTGCCTGCATGTTGCAAATTATGGTCGATTTTGGTCAAATACAGGGTTTAGGGGGAATAGAACAAACAATAAAATAAAATATTGATGCACCACTTCCAGATCCTGTTGGCTTGTTTATTCCAGGCCCACCCGAAGAAACATTTGCTTGACACGTGTTTAAAACATTCAACATTAGGGCATTTGCGCAATACCATAATGACACATACATGTTTTGTCACGTTTTGTAGTCTTTTCTATCACCATTTTTATGGTCGCCCCGACGATTCTATTAATAGACTTCTATTAATAGAAATGATATGATTGCACTTCAAATTATCATTTCACCTCCACCATCAAAACATTTTTTTTTTTGTAATTAGACTTCAATGTATGATTTATTTAATTTAGTTGTCTTAACTTTATTTGTGGGAGGGGTGGGGGTGGGACTAGTATGAATTTCTTCGTTACTGATTTTCATATTTGACTTTTACGTTAGAGTTATTTTAAACAATGCATTAGAAATGTAATATTTGCATAGTTGTTAAATAGAGTTAACGTTACTTTTGCATCACGTGATACCAATCTGTTCAATGTGGTGACTTTGTGGAGAAAATTCTCCCTTTTATCGATCAATGTATTTTCCCCTTTCAAAATATATTTATTATAGATTAAGAAAAAAATTAAAATAATTTTTGTATTTTAATTCTAAAAAAAAATATTTTTTGAAATAACATACGGACATCTTGAAGAAAAAAAAAGAGAAACAACTTAGTTATTTTGAAGTCAGTCCCTTTAACCTCCAGATGCTTCTATTCCAAAGAATATTTGAAGTTGATGAGCTGATTTCTTGCATTCGTAGAGATTTGTTTAAAAATGTTTTCATATTATTAAGGTATTGTATCGAGGTTAAAATATGTTCATGGATTTTAATCTTTGTATTTTCTTTGACATGTTTTCAAACATCCTGTAATGTCAGACTGAACTATTTTTGCATGTAAGATAATATTCACATCAATTAAAATAAATTTCCTACGTTTCAAAGTCGTCCGTGTTTTTATCTTGCTGCAACACTGTCAGGATTCTGCCTTGTAGAACTACTTCTACCTAAATAACCCCTCTTGTCCTTTGGAGTGGAAGGGTTAAACTAAACACCAATGGAAATGTGAAGACGAGAAAACTAGGTCCAGTCTAATTTAAAAAAAAAAAATCATTCTTAAATCATAGAATCATTTGTAACTGCACGTTGAACAATGTCTAGCTTTAAGAGATCGAAGAGTCGGAAGAAAGTTTACTAATCAGACCCAGTGTACGAATTTCATAATTAGTAATTTACATGAATTGATTTGTTATGAATTGACAGTGAATATAAACTTGTAACTTTTCAAAAAATTTAGAGAAAAAAAAATCCCACAAAAGCAAGTTAAGCGTTTCTCCACCAATGAATTGGCCTCGTTTATTTACGTGCACAATTTCATGAACACAAGCCGATGCCATTTGATGCACTTTTGTGTGTTAAGCTTTGCTTGTAAAGGGACCTTTTGTTGATAGCTTTATAACACATAAATACCTTATTTATTTTGGGTCTGTGAAGCCGTAGGAAGATATTTTAATTAAATTAACAGCTACTGCATTCATTTCATTTGTTTCGGGTCTGTGAAGCCGTAGGGAAGATAATTTCATCAAATTAACAGCTATTGCATTCATTTCATTTGTTTTGGGTCTGTGAAGCCGTATGAAGATATTTTAATCCTATTAACAGGTGCTGCATTAATTTCATTTGTTTTGGAAGTAAAGCTTCTAAATGAGAACGTGTGACAGGTGTAATTAAAACTTGAACTTGATGTAGACTTCAGTGTCGGCGCAAACTCCTTATTGGATTAATAGTTTTAAATTTAAAGAATGTTAACTAGTGCACGTGAACGTAAAGCTAAGTTAACGAATTTCATTATTTTTCAGTAATAGTGCATTAAAAAGAAATCTATATTCTTTAAAAAAATCTATATACTTAAAAAAAAATCTATATTCTTAATAAAATCTATATACTTAAAAAAAATCTATAATTCTTTAAAAAAAATCTATATTCTTATTAAAAAATATATTTTCTTTAAAAAATCTATTTTCTTAAAAAAAAATCTATATTCTTAAAAAAATCTATATTCTTAAAAAAATCTATAATTCTTAAAAAAAAGTCTATATTCTTATTAAAAAATTTATTTTCTTTTAAAAAATCTATATTCTTAAAAAAACAATCTATATTCTTAAAAAAAATATCTAAATACTTTTTTAAAAAATCTTGAACACAGGCAGTTGACAACAAGTAGAAATAAACATTAACACTTGTCCTGTCGCTGTTTCCGTATCTTCGCGTTTTTTTGTTGTTGTTTGTTTAAGAAGTGAACAGTTTTGATGTCCTGGGACCTTCTTGAGTCCTAAAACACAGACTTTGTTAAGGTCAATTAGTATTTCTATCCCCCCGCCCCCCCCCAAAAAAAAAATAAATAAATAAATACATAAATAAAATAATTGACGGAGTTTTCAGTTACTTGTTATTTAGGCTGTAAAAAATAAATTAAATGAAATTTTGAAATAAAAATTAGTTTATTGTAAAAGTAAGCAAAAGACATATTATATATTTTAATCTGAAAAAAAAAAAACAATTTGGAATTTTATTGATCAGAAAAGTGGCGTATGAGGAAAAATACACGGAAAAGGGATAAATGAATTGACAGGAAAAAAAGCATACAGAAAAACTATGTCTTGCGAACAAAATAGGTCCTTCACAAATTCATATGTGTAAAACAAACTGGTACATAATACGTTGAGACTGATACACTTTAAATACATAAGGGAATGATGTTTATTACAAACATTGGCGTCGAAATTGGTGACATTGATATAACAAAATATAACATGTCATGAACACAACTCTATCTACTGAAGCTTTATACATATAAACACATAATCTTGATATTTGATCATTATTTTAAAGTTCAAGCAGTTAGGAAACAAAAGAAACAAACAAATCATGACTACTCAGTAATGTATAGATAGACTGTTTATTAATGTATTGAATATTTAAGTCATTGATCAAATAAATGCAATTAAAACCAATTTATTTATATCTTTCTCAGTAGCATTGCCATGCAATCAGCAATCTGAGCAAGTGGAAAGAATGTGATTTAAAGTGTATAAATGTACATGTGTTTTAAAAGGAAATATAAAAATACTGATCTCATAACCCCCTGCACAAGAAAATTTCCTGCCAGAATCGGCCTCATTAGCCATCTGCGCACAAACAGACAGAACCAGCTTAAATCTGATGATTAAAGTGGTCATGGTCGACTACCGACTGACGAAAAACAATAACAATATATGTCTATCTATCTATCTATCTATATATATATATATATATATATCTATATATATATATATATCTATATCTATATCTATATCTATATATATATATTAATATATTAATATTTTGTCACAGTGCCTGATTTTTTATGTCCTTTCTGTCAGTCTCTACTCCTCCGATATGGTGTTGATAATTACTACGGATGTGAATCCTAAAAAATCTGGTACTATTTTGGTTTTGACATATTTTATTCTCTCCACGAATAGCTCTTAAATTACTGCAGTAAAATGTTATTAGCCGATATCATTCCACCATTTTTTTAACGTTGCTAGGTGAGACTGTAAACCAAAAGACTGCTAACTAATGAAAGTTAACAATGTCCTAGATTCGTTTCTCCAAGTCAACGGTAATACACGAAATGGAGTTCCTAAATATGTCAACTTGTTTTTAGCCCACAACGACAATATTATTTAACATAGGAAGAAGATTTACAAAACTTAAACAGACTAAATAAACGCAAAATTGAAAATGAAATGCAAGTGGTTTCAACATCATAGACTCAACAGCCAGTTCCCAACTTGAGATTGCGTTGTCGGTGTTTGCTGGTCTTAAGATGCAGTATGTGCTCTATCGTGATTGGCTGATCTCCAAAGCCGTTGGCGTTACTCTCACAAATCAGCGGTTGCCGTGGTGATACAACAGTGGTAAAGATACTGGTATTTTAATTCAATGAATGGCTATGGTAGCGTGAATCTTTAAAAAAAAAATGGTAAAATGATGATGCGTTAAGTTGACACTGTCTGACGCCGTCACACGGTATGGATTTTGGAAACATGATTAAACTGTTGGAACATATTCACCAGTGCACAAGGACGCGGATAAGCGCACTTCTTCTTCACTCTCCAGTAAACATGACACCTGTAGATGAAAGCAGATGGATGGCAGACGGGAAGGTTATGGGTAGGTGTGAGGGAAGGGGGGGGGTTGAATGAGGTGGTGGGCAGGTGAGCAATTGTCGGGGTGGGTGGGGTCAAAAAGAAAATTAAGAATTACATCAATTTTTGCGACTTTCATGTACAAAAGTTAACCAGTATTAACCAGTAGGATGATAAAATCAAAAAAACTTTATGGCTAACGTATGTTTATATGTCAGTTAGTTCCCTGAACCAAATACTTCATGGAATAGGTTTTCAACGAAGCTGTTTCTAGAACAGTCATAATTTAAGTTAAAATCACCGAAGTTATCAGTGGTTACATGTCGCCATAAAGCTTAGTGGTGTTCGTGTTGGGCCCTGTCTCGTGGGCAGTTCATTCAACTATACATTTAACCACCCAGAATGAAATATCTTTGTGATTTTGCTATTGAGATATGTGCCCTCGCTACAGACCCAGTTTTACGACTAAACACGGGATCCTGTATCGACAGGTCGTAGACCGCGGTCTCCAGACTGTGACACAAATTATCACATACGGTGACAGCACACTGGACGCCTATGTGGATTTTCTTTATATCAAATTGTTTTTTTTTAAAAAATTATTTCATATATGAAAATTCAAAAACTTTTCAAGCGCCTATGCGATATTTATGAAACATAAAATAAAATACCTTCAGGGAGACGCTCACGAGGCGGCTCAGAACAATCACTCGAACAACAGTCCCCGCGCCAACTTCATTGACAGTGTTAAAGTATTCGAATGGGATCACAGAGCTTTATTGACACGCCCAAGGAGCTGACGGTCTTGAGTCGGTGCCGTAAGGTCAAAGTGCTATTTTCCACGGCCGGTGTGAACTAAAGGCGCTCTATACCCGTCCGGTTGGTCGGATGTTTAAGCAGACGTTATGTAAAGAGTTAATCCACGTTTTGATTATGTCCAGTCCTCAGGTAAATAATGCGCCCGTAGATACGCAGCTAGAACGACGACAGCGATCAAAGAGGTTGGTGTATAATATAACATTAAAAAAAAAAAAAGCTTGCATGGGATGAATCTTGTTTAAGAGGATGCTTCTTGGGGGAGAAGGGAGGATCTTGAAATGTCTTGAAGGGAGGTTCTTGAAATGTCGTGTAAATCCCTTTAAATAGTGTCTTTATTTGTAATAGAGAAATAATACAGTCGTCGCTCGCCACTTCGGGGCTTTGACATTCAATCTATCGCGGTTTTTTTCTCCAAATATAACATGTATTCATTGACCATGACAGTGAAAATTACGAAGCGCGCCCGGTTGTCTTAGTCAGCTCTACACCCCTGTATTACAATTAAAATTGCTGTAAGTATGGACTGTAGGTCTAAGTATCTGAGCAGCCCCAGATGGTCCAATAATGTTTAAAGGTTGGCGAGCAGGTTTTCCTGCTCAAATGATGAACATTCCCAGGTTATAAAGAAAGAATCCTGCATGGCGGAAATTCAATTCTTGGGATATTCTGGAACGGATTGACCGCGATAAACGAGGGGCGACTGAACCAACGAGGGGCGACTGAACCAACGAGGGGCGACTGAACCAACGAGGGGCGACTGAACTGCAATTTATTAGACGCCTCTTCACACCAGGGCACTCGCGTTGGGTCGTCCAGGGGTCATTCACCCCACCCCCCCCCCACCCTCTTGTCAGATAAACACCTCCGTTAATCCAACATCTACCCGTATGCAGAAGAAGTGAATAAATCAAATGTTGACCCTTGTTGGTGTTAAAAGAATCTTTAGAGGTCATGTCTTACAGAAACAAATTGTAGTCTCTCATTGGTGGTTTCTTTTAGTGCTCTCTCTCTGAATGAGTTTTCGTTTTGTTTCTTTGTGTTTTGAAAGAATTCAACCGTGAGAAAGTAGTCATAAAGGTGCTTTGATTCAAATCCCAGTTTACCTGCCACAGCCCCGGTGACAAAGTTTGCCAGGTTCCCGGCGACGAATGCCCGGAGGACCAGTGCGATCACGTCAGGCTTCCTTTCTGGACACATCGGTATCAGCGTCCCCATACAGAAGCCGATGGCGGGGAAGGCAGAGATGCCGCACAAGGCGTAGGTGGTGATCACTTCGGAACGCTCCTATTAGAGATAAATTAACCAGATGAGCTTAACGTGAGAAGATCAAAGCTAAGATAGAGCAGGTTTCGGTTTGTTTATTCCGTTGTTTGCTGTCATCAGATGCATTGTGATATTCAAGAGCTTTTAAGAAAGAACCAATTTTATAAAATGACAAAAAGCATTGCCTCGTAAGTTTTGAAAACTTCTCAGATGAACACAAACTAGGAACAGGAATTTTCTATACAGTAGTGAATTTCTATAAATCAAACAACTTAGTATTACAGGGCGGAGATACCACGTTAATTAACTATTTCATGAAATACTTTTGACTTGCATTTGATCTCGCTGTTTAATCTGTAAGACTATCATGTTTACCGTCATAAAACCATTCAAAAGAGTTGTATTAGTGGCTTCCAGAATAACGTCACTTCCGGATGTTGACCACGTGCCATTTACATTCGTCACATAATCCTCAAAGATACGGCGGTTCTGAAATAAATATATATGTATAAGAAAACATATATTTAAATTTAGTGTCATCTTTAATTGAAAAAATATTTAAACTTTTCCATTCAATAAAATGATACCTTGTAAAAAAAATTGAAGAAAAAGAACCACATACATACTATTTTCACTTCGAAATAAGAACAGTTTGACTCCACAGGACTTACTTCGATCATCTTGCCCAACTCTGCGTAAGCAACAAATGGCGTAGCAAAAAACTTGATTCCTATCAATGAACCGATCTTACCACAGTCAGCCGGTGGCGCCCCCATGACATAAGACAATGGAAACAAGATGTAAGAGCAGATAACCTGATAAGGAAATAGAGCATTGAAAAATAATAAATTTCTAATGCATATCTCAGACTTTCATATGAAATGTTGAAATCGTCTGAAATTGATCAAAGCAGTTCAAAGACGCAAACAAAGATAAACAAAATGCCGAAAAAGTAGGCTTAACGTCGCTTAGGTGATTTGATACAATTTAAAAGGATTGCAATGTTAGTGACCCACATCAAAGGTCATCCCTTGGATTCCAGCCCGTTGTCCGATCCAGACTAAGATAAAGTCGATGAGGTTCAGCATTGACACGAAGGCCATCATGTTGACCATGATTGACGCCACGAGTTTGGTGGAGAAACCGGCTCCGTCCGAGGCGGCTTGTAGGAGATTCTGAGGCGACCTGGGCGTAAAATAGTTGAGTAAGATATGGTTGAAAATTAGATAATCGTAAGTGAGATGTCTCTTGTAAAACGAAGGAACTCTTCTAATGATTTGATACTTTTTAACAATGCAAAAACTTGACCATAACTTAAAAGCTTATAATGATATCGATTAGAAAGTCGGTTAGTATTTCCAAGAAATGTTTCATTTACTCTTCATTCCTCATCTTGATATTTCTCTGACTCTCGTAGTTGACTCTGTCCACTTCCGGGTACATCAGCTTTGATATGGCGAGGGCTGCCGGGGCGGATATGACGGCCGCAGTTAAAAGATGGCTGGCAGGCGCCTAAGACGAAAACGTAGACACAACTTTACAATTGCGTTATAGAGCTAACATTGTCCATAAGGTTTGGCGATAGGCTACTTTAAAAAAAAAACAGCATCACCCGTGGCCAAAGAAACGCACTAAAAAGTATTTCAAAACGAACAACTCACCCCAGACTTGATAAACATTGCCATGAATGCTCCAGATATGCTGGCAAACCCACAGGTCATGATGGCATGGAGTTCAGACCTGGTCACAGTGGGCAGGTAGGGACGGATGAGAAGAGGGGCCTCTGACTGACACACAAGAAATTAGGGTACATATTATTGGGTGTTTTATAATATATGAAAAATGTCGGCATGTATCTCTCCGGAGATCTTAATAGGGTAAGTATACATTAGGGTAAGTATACATTAGGGTAAGTATACATTAGGGTAAGTATACATTAGAATATCAGCCTGGTGTTGTGTTGTATCAACCTATCAGCTAAATCACAACTTACCAGACCGATGAAAATATTGGCGGCTGCAACAACAGACTCCACCGGGCCCGTCTCTAAACATATTGAGAGTACCCTTCCAATTTTGAGGACGATAAACTCCAGAACACCGAAGTAATCCATGACAAATATACAGGCATTGAAGAAAACAATAACACCGGCAGTCTGTGACAGATACAAAGAACAAAATAACACTAGCAGTCTGTGACAGATGCAAGAAAACAATAACACAAGCACGTACAATCAGTCTGTGACAAGCTGTGACAGAAACAGATCAAATTATTTAATTGTTCCAATACGTTGTCATATATCTTCATGTTTCTCATATTTTAAAAGAAGGCACATATAACAGGATTGCCAGTGATGACTTCATGTTAAAAATGTTAAATACTTAATGCTTATAATTTATATATTTAATACCAGTCAAATAAAGATGGCTACTTTAGATCAAATTTATTTATTTAGGCATTTTTATATAGCGCTTACCATAAAGCTCTTAACGCTTTACAATTATGAAAAACATGTAAACTAAGTAAAATAAAAATGAGACACTAGGATAGTAACTACTATACTATAGAAACAATTAAAATGGCTATAAAACGAGGACACTTTGGCACGTTTTGGCCATACTTCAGGATCAACCCGAAACAGAAAATGAGGCAGGGCAAGGAGGGTGCATCACAGGTCATAGGCGGACCTAAACAGATGAGTTTTAAGGGACTTTTTGAAAATGGACGAGGTTTCACAATGACGGATATGGAAGGGGAGCTGGTTCCAGAACGTGGGCCATTTTGGTTCTTGGGATTGAGAGGGTTCTACTGTCAATGGAAGAACGTAGTTGTCTTGTGGGATGAATGCACACATTATTGTCAACGCAACATTAAACCAAGACTAATTCAAAAAAAAAAAAAACTACGTTAAGATATGTTGCTTGTTTATGTGTACAAGTTTGTACATGACCACACATGACCTCACAACAACGCAGTACAATGCAATACGGGCAGGAACCAACCTCAAAGAAGAACCCGGCCCTCGCGGACCTGAAGCTGTCACCGAATACAAAGGTGGATCCCTTGTCGGAGAGGCGGACGAAACCGTGGACCAGGTCACCCATCCACTTGAACGCCTCGTAGCCAATCACGGTCCTCAGGGTCAAGGTCGCGAACACGAACTGTATAATGAATCCCCAAAACACAGGATGCCAGTTGACCTGTGCAAAAAAAATGGTGCAAATAAAAAAAAATCGGAATACAAATTATATTTTTTTTAATGGGAGATTTGTTACTAGTAGGCTCCCCGTTTTTTATTTTTTAAAGTCACCTTTGAACGCAGGGGGCGCGCAGACATTAGTTATATAGCTTAGCCTATGTTATCTAGACTAGCACGGCTCATAACTTGGCTTTCAGTGTCATTTATTTTTCATATTACATGACAGTATCTCGTCTAAATAGACTGACATTCAGCTCATTTGAATAAAACCTAGACATAGGCTACAGGCAGAAACCAAGGAGGCAGACGGCTCACCGTCGACCAAGATGTAGAGAAGGAATTACACCAGCTAGGGGTACGCACATGGAGAAGGAATTACACCAGCTAGGGGTCCGCACATGGAGAAGGAATTACACCAGCTAGGAGTCCGCACATGGAGAAGGAATTACACCAGCTGGGGGTCCGCACATGGAGAAGGAATTACACCAGCTAGGGGTCCGCACATGGAGAAGGAATTACACCAGCTAGGGGTCCGCACATGGAGAAGGAAAGTCATGAATCGATCCGATTGGAAGGATGTAGTGGAGCAGGTCAAGGCGTTACATAGGCTGTAGCGCCACTGATGCTGATGATGATTTGATATATGTTTAAAATGTCACCTGCATGGTTTCGTGAGCATATTCGGAATGTAGAACTATAGCCACCACGTCAATACCTTGTATTTCAATATCGCTGACTCTTTTCTTTTTACCTACTATTTTAATTGTTATTCATTGGGATATTTATTTTTCATTGTATTTATAATAGATTTCCCTCTAATCTTAAAACTGTTTTTTGTAGCTTAGTCGTAAAGTAAATCGTGATGTTTTGTCTTCAATAAATTTCATCATTATTCTTTATTGACATATAATTCGTATAGTCTAATCTTCTTGATCTTCACCATAGTCCAGCGTACTTCTGATCAAAATAAAAAAATTAAATGCAACCACCCCCCACCCCAAAAAAAACAACAACAACAAAACAAACAAAAACTGCTACTACTACTACTACTCCTATTGCTGCTGCTTCTGCTACTGCTACTAATACTACTAATACTTCTATACCCACGGGAATAAAGAATAAAAGCAAATTAATTACAATTTATGGCAACATATCTGTAAATGGAAACAATAAACATACTTTTTTTTTACCAGTAGTCCATAATTAACCTCCATTTCCTTTAGCGTTTCTTTCAGGCATTTCCCCCCGGAGAGGGGGCATTTCAGATTTTCGGGGGGAGGGGGGCAGTACTAGTGGGTATTGGCCAGAGGCGTAGCTTAGGCGTGGCAGATGGGACATATTTCCCGGAGTGCCAGACTAGCGGGGGCAACAAAAAGGGTTTTGATTGTATTTGATGGTTGAAAATAATTAGTTTCAGAGTGGAAAGGGAGGGGGCGTAAAAATGAAAAATGTCCCCTGACGCCAACACTCTAGTTACGCCCTTTCCAGTGGCGCAGAAAGGAGGAGGGTGAGGTTTTTCACCCAGGTGTCTCTTTTTCGTTATATGGAGGTTTGGCATTTTCGGACAACTGTAGATTTTGTATCTAAAGAGAGTGGCAAAAATATTTGGCCCCCATTGTGGCACAAACAGTAGCTACGCGTCTTAGGCAGTGTGTATCTCGTCACGAAAATTATCTATTATTTTCATCGGGGTGTCGGGTAGAAATTTTGAATACAATGTTTCTTTCAGACAATTTTGAGGTGACATTTTAAACTTTCGTGTGGGCAGCGACACAATAAGCCATACTAATGCTCGGCAAAGCCAAGTGGAGAGTATGATTGCGGAATCAACAGGGATTCCCAGTACCCCCCAAAAGCACTGATGCTGCATACGACGACCTTTGTGAGTGGTATCCTCACAGTGGCAAAGAAAACAATTCCAAGAACTAACGGGAACCTCAAGTTCCGCCCCTTTTGGAATAAAAGGTTGGCTAAGAATAGAGCTCGGACCAAAGCTGGAAAGTTGAAGACGGCCGCTGCTCGTGCGGCATACAACAGACTAACGGCAGAAATCCGAAAGGAGGTTGATAGGACGAAAAAGGAAAATGGGTTGGGACATGCAGGAAACTCGACCTGAAAGACGGCAAAAAGGTCTGGCGATTGATGGACCCGTTATCCTGCACGGGAAATCTGCGTACGTTGCAAACGACGACAGGCACGGCTACCACAGATGCCAAAAGTGCCGAGGCTCTAAACAAGCATTTTGCAAAGATCAATCGGAAGCAGAAAGAGAGCAGAGAGAGCCAAAACCTTAACCGTCTCCGGCGAAATGGAGAAATGGCCCAGCAGTGGGAACCGCATGCAGAGGTCTTTACCGCACCTTTCACTGTGGTTGAATTGCAAACCGCCATCGACAAGAGCGACGCCGCCAAGGCACCAGGTCCGGACAAGATCTGTAACGAAATGATTAAAAACCTTGGCACGATAGCTAGGACAGAGCTATTGTCAAACAGATCGTGGTAACAGGAATCCTACCCAGAGCTTGGCTTAGCGCTACCATCGTCCCTATTCCCAAAAGAAGGGAATAAACTCGATCAACCGACCGGCTATCGTCCAATCTCTCTAACATCGATGTTATGGAAGGTAGCCGAGAGAATGGTTAACCAGAGGCTCTACTGGTACCTGGAGAGTACCGAGAGTCTCAGCCCAATACAGGCGGGCTTCCACAAGGGAATGCAGCATGTAGACCTGGTGCTCAGTCTTCTCCAGTCCATAACAGATGGGCTCCAGAAAAGGTCCCATGCGGTGGCTGTATTTTTTTTTTACCTCCGACAAGCCTATGACCGATTCTGGAGGTCCGGTCTATTGTTGAAATTACAAAAGTTGGGAATAACTGCAAATATGTATAGGTGGATCTCCAGTTTCCTAACAAACCGGACGATTGCCACAAAATTCGGCAGTGAAACCTCCAGGAAAAGAACCCTTGAGGAAGGGCTCCCGCAAAGGTCAGCCCTCAGTTGCACTCATTTCCTTGCATACATCAATGACCTGCCACAAATTTTAGCAACCAGTGCTGCTATGTATGTAGACGATTTGGTTATCTGAGTACCTGTAAGCATGTCCACCGCCCGCAAACGCTATTACAACAAGACCTCTCTGCTATCAACAGGTACATGCGGCGGTGGCACCAGGAAATCAACACCGAGAAGACGGTCTATTCACTCTTTACCAAAGGGCGGACCATTTTCAAACAGGAGATCGAGCTCAAGGTGGGCAATGTAGCGCTCAAAATGGGACAAGCAACTGGTTAACCTGGGAGTCAAATTGTATCAAAAGGTGCAAATGCATAATTTTGTAAAGGACCTCTGCTCCCAGGCAACCGCCAAGCTCAATCTGGTGAAAAAATTGGCTTGCACAAGTTGGGGCGCGGTCGCAAGTACGCTTAGAGCTCTATTCCTAAGCAGTGTAAGGTCAGTGATGGATTACAGCATGCCGGTCCAATCCTTTCAAGCAAGACCGCATTGGAAAAGCTGTACCGAATCCAGAATCAGGCTCTGAGATTCATCTGTGGTGCTTTCAGGACCACACCCACAGCTGCTGTAGAGGTCTTGGCCAATGTAGAACCGCTACAAATTAGGAGGGAAAAAATCAATATTAAGTACCGAAGAGAGGTACCGGCGGCTGGACAAAAACGAACCGGCCTTCCAAATGAAGAATAACTGGTTTGGCGGCAGGCGACTAAAGAGGTCCTCTTTAATGCACCAGGTCGTGCAGCTGGAAAGGACAGTCGCTCTGCCCCAAAATAGAGAAAGTCTGACCCCAATACCAGTTAACCCGCCATATGCGTAACCCTCACGTCCCTCTATACATTTGGCTTTGACCGATGCAGCAGTGACGAAACGTAGTCCTGAACATGTTCAGAAAGCGGCTGCCCTTGAGACCATGGATGTGTTCGCACACCAGTGAAAGTGTTCATGGACAGCTCTACCAACTTGAGAGAAAGAACTGCTGTTATGGTGCGCTCATACTGTATCCAGCGGGATGACCACCAAAAGAAGAGCTCTCGGGGCCCTGTGGGACTGCAGCATCAAATTTCGATGCGGAGCTCATAGCTATACACAGGGCCTTGGAGAGAATACATGACACATGAAGGGGAAGGAACATGCGGGGCTTGATGTAGTTGTCTACTCAGACTCAAGATCTGCTCTCGAGATATTGGGAAAGAGACAGGGTACCACACACTTGGTCGACGTCATCACCAATGACGTATGCAAAATGGGTGAACTAGGGGGCAAGGTAACAATACAGTGGACACCAGGCCATGTCAACATCAGTGACAATGAGAGAGCGGACACTCTGGCGAAAACCGAGGCTGCCCAGCCTCAGTCAGAAGTACCAATGACTTATTTGGGAATTTAAAACTGGCTGGCGGACCAATTCATTTTTTGCAATTTAAGTTTTATTTTACGATGTTTTGTTATTTTTGACCTGGCATACCATGTCTTTCATGACATGAATGGCAGGAATAGTGTAATCTCTAGTCATGAAACAGGTTCATAACCGTGGAGTACAAGTGGTTGGGTAGTCACTCATCTCTCAAAATAGAAGTTACGTGTTTGAGGACACTCCGATAGTTGCGTTGGAAAAGTTTAGCTACAATAGTTGATATGAACTTTGGTTCTGTGGGTCGATGAAAAGTTTAAAAAAGTATGGTTAAGAGGTGTTATGAGACAAGAGTAAGACATAGTAGTGTTTGAGTGATGTTGGACATATTAATAATGTTTGAATGTGGACTTGGACTTGGACATCACTTATCTAGCATCTACTCGCTTAACTAATCACTCTTAACTAGAACTCATCACTTAACTAGTAGCTACTTACTTAACTTATCACTGTTAACTAGAACTCATCACTTAACTAGCAGCTACTCACTTAACTAATCATTGTTAACTAGAACTCATCACTTAAGTAGCATGAAAGATGTTGAAAGAGTTGAGATGATCAGAAAAAAGATGGAGGTAGGAAGAGCTGTTAGATGAGACGAAGCTGGACCTGTCGTAAAGTTTGAAGGGAGGCACATTTTTAGGTGTGGCGGGGAAAAAGAAACTAGAAATGGTTTTTATGATGTGGAAGATGGACGTTAGACAGAAAGTTAGTTGAGCGTTGTATGGAAAGAGTTTGAGAGAGAGGCTAGCTGAAAAGAAATTTGTGCCTTGTAAAGATTAAAAGTTGCATTTGAGAACTAAAAACTGCATTTGAGAAAATCCAGATGTCCCCGCAGTTGGTAAGACAGACAGAAAGTTAGTTGAGAAATAGAGGAAACGAGTTTGAGAGAGAGGCTAGCTGAAAAGAAATGTGTGCGTGGTAAAGATTAAAAGGTTGCATTTGAGAACTTTAAAAACTGCATTTAAGAAAATTTAAAGATGCCTTTGAAAAATCCAGATGTCTCCGCAGTTGGTAAGTTAGTCAGAAAGTTAGTTGAGAAACAAGACAAAACACTAGCAGTGGGTTATGATGTGGTAGCTGGGCATGATGTAAAGTTTGAAGGAAGGCACATTTGTTAGTTGTGACGCGGAAAACGAAACTAGTAACGGGGTGTTATGATGGGGTTAGCTGGGTCTGTTGTAAAGTTTGAAAAGTGGGACAATTTTTAGGTGTGGTAGGGAAAAAAAAATTAAGCGTCGCGCTGAGACGAACAAGATTGTTAAGGTTGTTATGTTATGGTAGATGGCCATCGTAAAGTTGGGTCGGGAAAGGGAGGGCCCCTTTGTTGAGCGGTGGGTGGGAAAAAGATAAGAGTCGAGCTGAAGGGGAGAGATGGGAAGGCACATCTGTGCCAAGCGTTTGTTAGAGTAACCTTCGTGACGTTTGCACTTGTGAAAATCCCGATGTCCCACACGGTTGCAAAGTTAAAGAGACTTGTGTTTGCGATACGAAACCTCCTGTGAACTAGACTAAAGAGAAATTAATCGAGTTGCAGGATAGATGAGAGATCCGTTTAACATTTGACCCGCTTCATTGATTGAGACCCTCTGGATTCATTTTATCATGTTCAGCGCAAACTACACGTGGTGTTGAGGGAGAGCAACCAGTATGAAACACACAGATAAAACAATCCTACTTAAAAATTGGACATTTCTTTGTGGATAACTTAGCTCTCCGTTACATTCTCACTGGTCTGGTGCAAAGGGACATTTTTACCACCACCGAGCAGGAGGACATTTTGAGTCATAAGGAAATTAGATCTCATTGTGAGTTATTCTTGCTGACGTTATTAAACTCGGGTTTGGATCAAGCGTTTCAACACTTTCTTGATATCTTCGAAACGGATTTTGCCTTTGTCCGTGAGAGGTTGAATGATAATGTAGAGGAAATGAGTCATTTAAAATGTCTTACAATCTAAACAAAACGTGAAAGTGGATTTTCCTTATAGCCGTTTCTTTTTCACTTATTTTTGTGTTCCAAGTGTGGAAAAGTGTTACATAACACTATAAGTCGATATTGCAAGAGTGATGGAAGCTAGTACCCAGACATTTTCCAACTCACCGTTGAATCAAATTTGTCGTGAGGCAGAGTCTAAGGCAGTAGATGTACTTATTAATTTTGATCAAGTGAATCCTAAACAGCCTCCTAATAGATATTGTAGCACCTTGCGGCGTGCCGTGAAAGAGCTGTCAGATCGGCATGATTTAGTTTTTACCGGGTTGGTCAACAGACTAAAACCAGATGAAACAAATGCATTTCCAACTTTTGTTATTGTTGCGGATGAAATCTTTGATGATGGACAAGTAAACTGGGGAATGATTGTCTCTGTTTATGCCTTTGCTGCCAGAGTTGCTAAGTATTACATTGACAACAATAAATATGAACAATCTGATAAAATAAATGAATCATATTCTTCGAGACCCATACCTTACCAAAAGAAGTTTGCATTATTTGTTGGAAAATATGTTGCTCATACTTGACAAGAAGAAGCTTAAAACATCTGTCATGAGTACAAACCATAACCCACTAAGCCTACAAATATAAACAACACACAACAAAAAAAAAACGCTAATTAGGAACCAACTCGGTCCTCAAACTTGACAAAAAGAAGCTTAAAACCACCTGTTCTGCCTACCGATCCATATAAAATGAGAAATGTTTGTTAGAGAATCGACCCCGACATAGTGATAACCACTTAAAATAAATAAGAAAACTAATTAAAATACAAGAAAAAATATTAAAAAATACACTCAAAACACTTTGAGAACCTCTCAAAAATGAGAAATATTTGATTACTCATCAATAAAATTTAATAAACTTATCCTGTTACGACAGAATTATTCCATAACAAGAAAAAACTCGTTATGAGTCACACATAATAATAGCCACTTATTAGAAAATCGACCCCCACATACTTTGAGACCCATTTAAAATATACAAGAAAACTATTAAAAAAAAATATACCCAAAATACTTTGAGAACCATTCATTAGAAAATTGACAACAGCTGCATAGAAAATTGAGAACCACTCAATAGAAAATTGAGAACCACTTGAAATATACAAGAAAACTAATTAAAAGACAAGATAAAATAAAAAATACAAGACAAAAATGACCCCCACCTCTTGAGAATCACTTAAAAATACAAGAAAAAATAATTAAAATCAAATTACACAATGAGAATACTAATTATAAAAATTGACAACCACTCAATAGAAAATTGAGAACCACACATTATAAACGTATATAATTAAAAACCGTCCTACAACAACACGTGAAAAATCTAAACAATACCTCTTTTGTTATCTATAGTCTTTGATGTCGTATTTGATGTCGTATTTGATGTTGTTTTTTAAAATTAATTACAGCGTTGCACAACAATTCAAAAATAATTAATAAATCAAAGGGAGGTAGCTTTTATAAGCCAATTACAAAAAAGTAATTATCTGGTTATCCAATTTTCGGGTCGTTTCCTAAATGATCTACTACTTCCCGGGAGAAGCCAGTGCAGTTGGAGGACTCTTTGTGAGGAAATGGTTGTATGGCTCAGCTCAACAGATGGAGTTGATAGCCAATTTACTAGCCGGGGTCATAAGAGAGTAATCTCAGACCCTTACCAGAATATGTGTGTTAGTTATGGAGGGCCATTCGGTCAACAGGTGCTCTAGAGTCTCCAGGGCCAGGCTGCAATGCCGGCAGTTAGGATCCTTGTTGTTATTCAGCCGCCAGAAATATGTGCGCAAGGGGCATCGGTTTAAAAAAAAAAATCAATTTTTTAAAGTTTAAATCGGTTAAAGCACCAGATACTGACTGTTCTTTTAAACATTTTAGAAACAACAATTGAATCGTTTTTAATTTTAAAAAAAAATGTTATATTGTTGTACACATTATATTTTGGGGGGGGGGGGGGTTTTTTTTTTTCCACGGGTGGGGGGAGAGACAATAAAAAAGCAAGACATTAAAAAACAACTAAATTATTTTAATTCTCGAAATCCTCTTGGTACAAATACGTTTTGGTTTTAAAAAACTTCGGTTTTTAACATATTTTAATCTCGCCCGACATGATAAGTCTTTGAATTTCTTGATCTTTGTTTTTTTTTTCTTGTTTTGTTTTTTCCTGCTGAAGAAAGTATCTAGACGAAAAGTCCTATTGATTATGCATTCTTTTCCATATCCAGTTCTACTATTTCATTGAATTGGACAATATCAGAAAATTGTGCATTTTAGACGTGCAGACATGTAGGTACATTTAAATGATGTTTGATAGCTCAAGACCGAACAACAAGACCAGTCAGTGTAAAGCGATCAAGAATATTTCACAAAACAGACTCTACCCTGCCTGGGCTGGATGACAGCAAAATAAATGGCATGACCTTACCCTGCTTGGCCTAGATGACAGGACAGTGAAGGACATGACCTTACCCTGCATGGCCTGGTGGACAGCTAATGAATGACATGACCTTACCCTGCCTGGCCTGGATGACAGCACAATTAATGACACGACCTTACTCTGCTCGGCCTGGATGACAAAACAGTGAATGACATGACATTGCCCTGTCTGGCCTGGATGAAAGCACAATGAATGACAAGACCTTACCCTTCTTGGTCTGTATGTCAGCACAATAAATGACATGACCTTACCCTCCCTGGCATGGATGAAAGCGCAATGAACACTACGACCTTACCCTACTTGGCTTTGATGACAAAATGAAGCAGGACACCAGGAGACTGAATATGCCGATTACGGCCTGTCCATTCTGTGGGCTGTATGTGATGACGTCAATGCCCAGATAGACACAAAGCAGGACAATGGCCAGCACGTAAAGGAAGCTTAGGAAAAAAAATGAAAAGACAATAATAACTTTTTTTTTTTTTTAACCGCACGAGATAAAACCCCCTACATGGAATATTCTAGATTTAATATTGTTTTGTTTGTTTTAGCCAGGGGTGCCCGCACCATATCGGGTGTTGTGAGCAGTATCAGAGGGACGAGGGAAGACCCAGAAATGAAGGTTTAGATGCATTTTTATTAGCCCTTTTGATCGTAAGGAGTGCGGGAAATTTATTTATTTAGGCATTTTTTTAATAGAGCTTACCTTACAGCTCTAAGCGCTTTACAATTATTCAAAATATGTCAACTATTTAAACTGCTAAAGTAAAATAAAAAGGAAAAAAAACCAGAGACACTAGAATAGTAACTACAATAAAAATGACTATAGAAACAGTAGCTTTAACATTAAAATGGCTATAAAAGCGAGTACACTTTGACACGTTTTGGCCTATACTACAGGATCAACCCGAGACAGAAAATGAGGCAGGGCAAGGAGGGTGCAACACAGGTCATAGGCGGACCTAAATAGTAAACAGATGGGTTTTAAGTGACTTTTTGAAAGTTGACGAGGTTTCACAATGACGGATGTGGAAGGGGAGCTGGTTCCAGAACGTGGGCGCATGGAAGTAGAAGAAGCGTTCACCGATGGTCTTAGTTTTGGTTCTTGGGATTGAGAGGGTTCTATTGTCAATTGAAGAGCGTAGTTGTCTTGTGGGGGTGTAAGGAAGCAACAGTTCAGAGAGATAGACAGGAAAGTGAGTAGAGGCCGACCGAATTTCGGCTTCGGCTTCGGTTTCGGCGCCGAAAGTGGCCATTTTATCACTTTCGGCCAAGTTTCGGTTTCGGCCGAAACTGGAAAGTTAACTTTCGGCTTAATTTCGGTTTCGGCCGAAAGAGAAAAGTTAACTTTCGGTTTTTCTTCGGTTTCGGCCGAAATTGACTTTGACTTTCGGCCATCCGGCCGAAAGTTACTCAGGTTTTCAGTCATTTAATACTAAGCGAAAGCGATATTTAACAAAAAACTAAGCGACATTTAAGAACAAATTAAGCGATCTTTGAGAACAAACTAAATGATATTTATTAACAACAAACTAAACGACATTTATGAACAAACTAAACGATCTTTAAAACAAACTAAGCGATCTTTAAGAACTATCTAAGCGCTCTTTAATAACAAACTAAACGATCTTAAAGAACAAACTAAACGATTTTTAAGACCGAACTAAATGATCTTTAAGAACAAAACAAATGATCTTTAATGATTTATAAGAATAAACTAAGCGATCTTTAACAGAAGACTAAATGTTCTTTAAAAACAAACTGAAAGATATTTAAGAACAAACTAAGCGATCTTTATGAAAAAACTAAGCGAATTTACAACAAACTAAGCGATCTTTAACAACAAACTAATGCGATCTTTAAGAACAAACTAAACGATCTTTAACAACAAACCAGGCGATCTTTATGAACAAACTAAAGGACCTTTGACGACAAACTAAACGATCTTTAACGACAAACTAAACGATCTTTAACGACAAACTAAACGATCTTTAACAACAAACTAAACGATCTTTAACAACAAACTAAACGATCTTTAACAACAAACTAAACGATCTTTAACAACAAACTAAACGGTCTTTAACAACAAACTAAGCGATCTTTAACAACAAACTAAGCGATCTTTAAGAACAAATTAAGTGATATTTTAGAACCACATTTTTTAGAGACCCGCTTTCAAAAAAATAATATTTTGAATTAATTTCCCCTCCTCCCCCCCACCCCCCAATTTCTGCCAAATTTTCTCCTACCATGCAAATTTGAAAAAAAATTGTAAATCAATTTAAATTAGTTTTATATTAAAATGGTAAAATCCAAAGTATTCATTAGATCAAGGGTATCAAACTCAAATTGGGGGGGGGGGCGCAGGAGGTAGTGCCTGAATGAGAGTGGGCCGCATCAAGTAATCCACAAAAAAGCCATTACAACTGTTACAGCTGATCAACCTTTATAAATAACAAAAAAATCATTAAGGGCTCTCAAGGACTAGGATTCACTTTCATCCACCTACTCACTGTTGCGGGTCACAAATGGCTCGCTGGCCGCGAGTTTGAGAACCCTAAATTAGATTTTTATTTATTAATATTTACGATTATCTCATTTTTATAAAAAGAATGTAAATATTTATATTTTCCCACATCATTTTCGAATTTATATTAAAATGGTAAAATCCAAAGTATTCATTAGATCAAGGGTATCAAACTCAAATTGGGGGGGGGGGCGCAGGAGGTAGTGCCTGAATGAGAGTGGGCCGCATCAAGTAATCCACAAAAAAGCGATTACAACTGTTACAGCTGATCAACCTTTATAAATAACAAAAAAACCATTAAGGGTTCTCAAGGACTAGGATTCACTTTCATCCACCTACTCACTGTTGCCAGAGAGCTGGCATACAAATATATAGACATTAAAAAAAAAAAAATCAGAATTAGATTAGTCGGTGAGATTCGACTGAAACCGTCGCGGAGAGTCACGTTAATATATATGAGAATGGGGGAAACGGGCCGGCGAATTTACACTAAACTTTTCTGTCATGTAGCTGACCGCAAAATATCGTCTTGCGGGTCACAAATGGCTCGCTGGCCGCGAGTTTGAGAACCCTAAATTAGATTTTTATTTATTAATATTTACGATTATCTCATTTTTATAAAAAGAATGTAAATATTTATATTTTCCCACATCATTTTCGATGTAAGCAGAATGTAGGCGGGAAAAAATTTCAAAATATCTTAATATTTCGGTTTCGGCTTCGGCCGAAATTCATTTTTATCTTTCGGCTTTTCTTCGGTTTCGGCCGAAAGTCATTTTTAAACTTTCGGCCTTTTCTCGGTTTCGGCGGAAAGTCATTTTAAACTTTCGGCCTATTTTCGGCTTCGGCCGAAATCATAAAATCACTTTCGGTCGGTCTCTAAAAGTGAGGGTCAGTGAACGAGTTGAAGCATAGATTGGCAGACTTGTACTTGATGCGAGAGGATAATTAAAGCCAGTGGAAATCATTGCAAAATCGAGATGAGGGTGCGGGAAGTGTATTGAAATAAAGAGGGGTTGCGGGGGTGTAAGAAATGTTAAGAACCCCTGCTCCAGATAACGCAAATTTGTTAAGAACGTTTAAAATCTTTCTGCAGACGATATCCTAAATGTTAAGAATCAGACTTTTTGTATGCATACGCCATTCACATCAACCCTGTACTTACCACCCCCATCCATTACAACATGTCTCACAGGTTTTTCTATAGACCCGGGACAAGTGCTGGAAACAGCCAATGACTGCAAGAACTGTGTCACGGAGTTCATTCACTCCCTTACTTTGCGATTAAAACATGACACTGATGTCCTCTTTTCTAGCCTAATGCATGGTGTTGCATCCTACCCCATCCGGCTTACACAAACACACATTACACACGCACGCACGTACGGTGCGAACTGATACACACACTGACGTGGGGAAACGGAGTCCCGTCGTCCTTTCTATGCCTTATTTTTTTTCAATTAGAGCGTGTGGTTGACTTTGATCTCTTGTGACAGAACACGACAGAACCATGTTGATTAGTTTTAACAATCACTGGCTTGAGAAGGGTGCACGTGGGAAAAAGAATGCTTGTCATAGATCGTCGATGGGGAATTCCCCCCCCCCCCCTTTTTTTTTTTTTCTTTTTTTTTTGTGGGGGGTGTCCCCCCCCCCCCTTTTTTTTTTTTTTTCCTTATTTTTAGCTGATGTAGGCGGTTATCGGAAATTTGTTTGAAACAAATTTCGTCGACTGAAAATTGATCGACGGAAATTTGATCGAACTGAAATTTGGTCGAATGATTTTTTCAGTTCACACGTTAAAATTTTCGTCAATTTTTAAAAAAAAAATACGCATTATACCATTTCTTAAAATAAAATAATGCGTATAAAAAGAAATTTGACGCAAACTTTTTACGTGTGAACTGAAAAAAAGATACGACCAATGTTCCGTTCGATCAATTTTCCGTCGATCGATTTTCCGTCGACGAAATCTCTTTCAAACAAATTTCCGGATATCTTCTTCTTCTTCTTTATTTTAAGGGCCCACGATCAATGATATAGATATAGACTGATGGTAAATTTTTAACGGATTATAAATGAAGGACTGCGTTCAAGTTGTTTCTTAATGCAAGAGTCCACATACCGTGCTCTACTATTTCCAGCATATTTTTTATAGGAATGATGTACAGCATACCCGATGGAGTTGTATACTGGCGTTATTAAATACAAGTTAGCTACCAGATCCCATTTAAGTAACTTAGAGATTTATATGGATGGAAAGGATAATAACTTGACTGACGCTCTTAAATATTTTTTGAGATCATCGTATACAGGGCAAACATCAAGATGCATTTTGAACTTACTATCTTACGTAGGCTCGCAAACGTTTGATCTTCGGTGACGTGGCGTATGCAGTGTAACACTTCAAGATCGAGGCGTCGTATTTTGGTCCGCTAATGAAACCAAACGTTATCTTGACTATCAACGCCCCTGTAATGACAGTCAGAATATAGGAGCCCTCATCGTAATATCTGGGGATATGAAAATGCAAAGAAAGGAAACCAATTTAAAAAAAAAAAATGTTTGTTAGAAATGAGAGGGTCGAAATGCAAAGAAAGGTAACGTTTATTGAATGTCGTGTCGGGGGACTGGTTGTGGATGTTGATGTGGTTGTATCGGTTGATGTGGTTGTGTTGTTTGATGTGAATGTGGCGGTTGATGTGGTTAAGGTGGTGGAAGCGGTTAAGGTTAGGAAATTTGGGATAAGAATTAACTCTCTCTCTCTCTGATCCGTCTCACATTTACAAACATTTACAATTTTATTATTATCTTATGAAAAAAGCTTATTGTGAGGGAAAATCAAATTTTAACGAAACATTAGTCTCTTAAGACAAAATACAGGAGCGCATATGTTGCCTGCTGAATACGCCTCAACCCAACGCCCCCCACACCACCCCCATATAACAAGAAGAAAACATCTAACATAGGACCATTCATATGTTTGCTTTCAAATTAACGTTTTTAAGCCGATAGTCCAAAATAAATAAATAAAAATAGATTTGAGACCGGTAACAGTTGCACTTATGTGTGAAGTTCTCATCGTGATCTAACCGGATGAACAGCCTCCATTCACTTCAGACACCTTTCTCTTCTAGAGTGTAATAGCCTTAAGAAAAGACTCGAGTCTTATTCAGTAAAGTGCGGCCACGACACAGGCTCTTCAGCTAAGGGCAACCATCGTGCCAGGTTGACACAGCAGTTCCAAGTCAGTGGCTGGCCTTGCCCCGTTTTATACTTTCTAAATTACGTACATTTTATCCAAATAATGAGAAGCTAATTTTGTATAGATAATGATCAAGACGGTTGGAAAAGATGCAATTTGATACGTTTTCTACACAATTTATAAAATTTTTCATAGCCACTTTTCAATGCCCAAAATATTTTTTTAAAAAGTCACATCTCATCTTAATTAGCCCAAATGTTTATTGATTTGTAGATATTGTCTGAGTGAAAAGAATCTTTTGGCTTAACTTTAATTTGATATTTGTCGCCCACATGTTCTTTCAATTTAGAAATTTACGTCAAAAGTATATTGGTTGACACAATAATTCCATTAGATCTTAAAGAAGATTCAGTGTGAACTTTAAAAGTTTGGCGAAATGGAGCCAATTCAAAGCCAGACCGGTAAACAAACTTATATAATTTGTAAATATTATTTAGTGAAGGAAATCGCCAAGACCACAAAAATAGGTGGGTCTGTCTGCCAGACCACAAAAATAGGTGGGTCTGTCTGCCAGACCACAAAAATAGGTGGGTCTGTCTGCCAGACCACAAAAAAAAAAAAAGAAAAGATGCGTCTGTCTACCATGCCATACAAATAGATGTGTCTATCTACCTGGCCCCAAAAATAGATGTGTCTATCTACCTGGCCCCAAAAATAGATGTGTCTATCTACCTGGCCCCAAAAATAGATGTGTCTATCTACCTGGCCCCAAAAATAGATGTGTCTATCTACCTGGCCCCAAAAATAGATGTGTCTATCTACCTGGCCCCAAAAATAGATGTGTCTATCTACCAGGCCCCAAAAATAGATGTGTCTATCTACCTGGCCCCAAAAATAGATGTGTCTATCTACCTGGCTACAAAAAAAAGAAGTGTTTGTCTACTAGGCCATACAAATAGATGTGTCTATCTACCAGGGCCCCCAAAATAGTTGAGTCTGTCTGCCAGACCATGCAAATTAAAATCTGTAGGCATCTGTATTCTGCATGTAACAACATAAAGTGTTACATTGTCTATACCTCTAAGATAAGGCCACATAAAAGTTTAAAGTAAGGGTTTTCATCTAATAAAATGGTTTACATAAAAAAAACTAGGGTCCATCTTTTGTCTGGCACAACAATGGATGATGTCATAGAAAGCTGAGGTATGATGTTTCCATCTTTTGTCTGGCACACCAATGGATGATTTCATAGAAACCTGAGGTATGATGTTTCTTTTTTCATTAAAAAATATGCCAGCCGGTTGATTTAACTTTTAATAAAAAATGTCTAAAGCGTTACGAGAGCTGAAAACAGTATTATTTAATTTTTATGATATTTTTTTTTTCAATAAAGCCTTATAATTTGAAATGGTTATTTATCACTTTCAAAAATGTAAATTTCGTAAAAAATATAAAATTAGGTTATGCTAGACTTGAATTTATTGACAGGACAAAAGATTTTGACGTTTCGACTTAGAGCCAACATGAGAAAACAAGACAACAAGAAGTATAAGAAGTATCAGATCACAGTAAAAAAAAATAAATTAGAATGTCGTAACCGTTTTTACAAAAAGCATTTTTAACTTTAGCTTGATGTCGTAAACCATGTTTTGATATTAGAACATTTTCTTCGTGGCTCTTCTATTTCTTGTAATAAAAAGAAACCATCTGAAAGATCCATCTAAAACAAAATTTCACGAAAGTTAAGTTTAAAACCTGAATAATATGTTAAGCATGGTCAACATGCTTGTATCGTTAAGGTTAAAGTCCTGGCCATGCCAAGAGGCTTTTCACCGAGAGTTCTCCGGTACCACACTGGTTATACCCTCCTCAAACCCTCCTCACACCTTCCTCATACCCTCCTCACACCTTCCTCATACCCTCCTCACACCTTCCTCATACCCTTCAACCCCCGTTAGCCATAAAATTGAGCAACAAACAAGAATTATGTCATTAGACTATTCACCCCACCTTTTAATTTTCCTTTTTCAAAAAAAAAAAATAATCAATAAACCTTCAAAGATGATAACTGGACTTGGCATAAACCACAATCTTCCAATTAAACATCTATTTTAATTTAGATTTATTTTGCGACACAGATGATCGTTCGACATGTTGATTATACACTTCACAGAATGTCTTTCCTGTAGAACTTATTTCAGTTAAGTAGCTTGGGTTGTATATTATCTCTAGTTTTCGCGACCAAGTTAGATGTATCACAGCATTGTCATTGAGCAAGAACTAATAACGATGAACCACTATTAGATATTCTAAATTGTAATGACAACACCCAAAGTAGCCTGTTTTACTCACATGTTATGACTACAGCACACCAAGTAAGCAAGTGTACTCACTTGTTATGGCAACAGTACCCAAAGTAGGCTAGTGTACTCACTTGTTATGGCAACAGTACCCAAAGTAGGCTAGTGTACTCACTTGTTATGGCACAGTACCCAAAGTGGGCTAGTGTACTCACTTGTTATGGCAACAGTACCCAAAGTAGGCTAGTGTACTCACTTGTAATGGCAACAGTACCCAAAATAGGCTAGTGTACTCACTTGTAATGGCAACAGTACCCAAAATAGGCTAGTGTACTCACTTGTAATGGCAACAGTACCCAAAGTAGGCTAGTGTACTCACTTGTAATGGCAACAGTACCCAAAGTAGGCTAGTGTACTCACTTGTAATGGCAACAGTACCCAAAGTAGGCTAGTGTACTCACTTGTAATGGCAACAGTACCCAAAGTAGGCTAGTGTACTCACTTGTAATGGCAACAGTACCCAAAGTAGGCTAGTGTACTCACTTGTAATGGCAACAGTACCCAAAGTAGGCTAGTGTACTCACTTGTAATGGCAACAGTACCCAAAGTAGGCTAGTGTACTCACTTGTAATGGCAACAGTACCCAAAGTAGGCTAGTGTACTCACTTGTAATGGCAACAGTACCCAAAGTAGGCTAGTGTACTCACTTGTAATGGCAACAGTACCCAAAGTAGGCTATATATAGCACGAACAGTGTCACCTTGATGACGTTGCCGATCATTTTACAGTGGCGTTTTTGGAAAACTGTGACAGTGTCTTCGATTTTCTCCACCCACTTACTCCAGCGCCCTTGGGGGAATGCACCAAATTCATTTCCCGTTTTTCTTACGATGAACACTTCTGTCTCTGGAGACTTGTCGTGCGGATCTGACGTCAGACCGTTCGCTAAAACCCCCGCCGTGCCGTTTTCTTCCGAGTCTCTTCTGGTCTGAAGTGGGGATGACGTCATCCTATTTTCAGCTTCCATTTACCCTTTTCAACGAAAATAATAAAGGTATAATAAATGTATAAATATTTGCTAAGTTGTAGAATGTAAAACAACAACAACAATCCTAGATGGAAATACATCAAAGTAAAAATTCAATGCATGAGGGAAAAGTTCGCGATTGCCTGTGTCGCATTCTTTCGTTTCTGATCTATTGTATTTCTTTTCTGATAGGATTATCCAAGTCTTTAGAAAGCGAATCCCGCACAAAATAGAACCATTCCTTTAAATATCAACTGTCTGTTTCTCTTCACCTCATACCGGTCAACAACTGTGTCTTTCTAGGACCATGATTATTTCATTGCCGATATGTAGTTTTGAAATAGATCAATCGAATTTTATCCTTTCAGGGAATAGAGTCCATCTCAGTCAGGCTTATTTGTGGTCACCACTTTGAAAGGATTTTTATTTTTACATTTTCCAGTTGAACGATATCAGAAACCTTCTATTCGCTATTTTTTCTCATACATATGCTATTACTTGAACCGGCTCCAGACAAGGCGCCGTGGTCGTTGTTGGCGTAATTTCCACCAATGGGAGAGCTCACATTTGCTTATAAACCACAATGGGAGAGCTCACATTTGCTTATAAACCACAATGGGAGAGCTCACATTTGCTTATAAACCACAATGGGAGAGCTCACATTTGCTTATAAACCACAATGGGAGAGCTCACATTTGCTTATAAACCACAATGGGAGAGCTCACATTTGCTTATAAACCACAATGGGAGAGCTCACATTTGCTTATAAACCACAATGGGAGAGCTCACATTTGCTTATAAACCACAATGGGAGAGCTCACATATACTTATAAACCACAATGGGAGAGCTCACATATGCTTATAAACCACAATGGGAGAGCTCACATATGCTTATAAAACAACTTCAGTTAAACGATAGTGGGTGCATAGTATCATATTTACCACAGCTTAAATAAGATGAATAATCCATCCAGTCTTAACTGTAATAAGACATATCCGGAAATTTGATCGAAAGAAATTTCGTTGACGGTAAATTGATCGACGATAATTTGATCGAACGGAAATTTGGTCGAATTTTTTTCTCCGATTTTTACGTTAAAATTTGGCTTTAAATTTAATTTTGAACACATTATTTTGTTTTACCTTGTAGTATAGTGCGTTCAAAAAGAAATGTGAAGAAAATTTTAACGTAGGAACTGAAAAAAAAACGATTCGACCAAAATTTACGTTCGTTAAAATTAACGTCGATCAATTTACCGTCAACGAAATTTCTTTCGATCAAATTTCCGGTAACCGTAATAAGATGATTATGTCTTAGCACTCCAAAAATAAGAATCCATTATTTATAAATGTATACTTTATCACTATTAAGTGCCGCAGCGCTGGTCTGAAATTTTTGCGCCCAGGGACAGAGCAAGTTTGTTTGCGCCCTCTTATTCCAGTGTCTTCTCTCCCCTGCCTAGCATTGAACCACAAACACACTGATTATAATTTAAGAAAAATATATATTTAATTATTTAAATCAATAAATGTTTCTTTCTGCCTTCAATCACAATCATCGCGCCCCTTAAAATTGTAAACCGGGGCCTATCTCACCCTTTGTCAACCCCCAAGTTACGCTTCTTTCTCTGCTTTTGAATTATTATAGCTTGAAAGTACTAAAATAAGATGGCCATACTATAGCAATGCTGACATTAAATTACAACATCGTATAACCACGACATCATTAATATGAGAGAGATAAATTAAGAACCCCACCTGGATTGAAGAAATAGTTACATCCTAGCACTACTTAATACTGATGGTTATATCTTACTGCCGCGTCCTAACATGCAGGGTAAAATCTGTACAATATGTGAATATCATAATTACTTAATGACTTACGTAAGAACGAAATACACACTTTTTCCTATGTTTGTCTTGCATCAGTCCATATATATACACAAGACAAGGACAATCGTGGCCACAAACAGCTTTGGCGCCTGGCTGAAGTTATCACAACTCAAGCACGACCGAGTGAAGCGGGGTTTCTTTTTTTTATAACTCTGATCACCAAGCTCAATGCTGAACCATTTTAAAACACACACAAAAAAAAAAAAAAAAAAAAAACTGGCTGAAGTTAACACAACTCAAGCACGACCGAGTGAAGCGGGGTTTTTTTTTTTTATAACTCTGATAACCAAGCTCAATGCTGAACCATTTTAAAAACCACACAAAAAAAAAAAAAAAACTACAGAGTGGCTCTATTATTTCCCATTCTGTTGCTTATCGGGGAGGGACCAAAAAAGAAAAAAAGACCTGTTTTTGAACGGAGATCGAAGTGTCACCAGCTGGTTTTTGTAATTAAGGTAACACTTTCTCAACTCGATACAAGTCAGCAGCTTTTTTTTTTGGTCGTGTAAATGTCAAGGAAAAAAACAACAACGAAAGAGCCCCAACAACAGCAGCATTCAAGTTTTAATCATTTAAATCTTATAAAATTGGTTTCTTTGAAATGGAAATAAAGATGGCGTTAGTTGAACAAATAAAAAAAAAAAGTAACTTGTTTGATATCCATTGAAATCAAACATCAAATTGATATTAAAATCGGTTCAAATAATTCGTGAGACATCAGTAAAAAAAAAGGGGGCGAATTCCCAGCGTTGTTATCACGTATCCGTCATAGAAGAGGCTTACATTACGCAAATATCCTTTTTTTCGGTATTCGGGATATGCTGATTAATAGATTCGAGTTTCAAAGAGCAGTGTTTGGCCGCCAGCAGTGATTGATTCAGCTCACTTATTTATTCTAACGCTCCATAGAGACCGTTTCACAAAGAAAGCTGTTTGTACTTTGGCGTTGCTTTTTACCCATTGCGAATTTGTTTACGCATTTGAGTCAATGTATAAATTTGCAATAGAAAAAAAATGAACATGATGAATAGAAAAGCAAATTTATCAATGCTTCAAAAAGGGTGGGGCGGGGTGGGTGTGGGGGTGTGGGGGTTGGTGGCGGAGGTTGAGTGGGGGTTGTGGTGAAGGTTGAGTGGGGGTTGTGGTGGAGGTTGAGGGGGTTGGTGGCGGAGGTTGAGTGGGATGGTGGTGGAGGTTGAGGGGGATGGTGGTGGAGGTTGAGGGGGTTGGTGGCGTAGGTTGAGTGGGATGGTGGTGGAGGTAGAGGGGGATGGTGGTGGAGGGAGAGGGGGTTGGTGGCGGAGGTTGAGGGGGGTGGTGGGGGAGGTAGAGGGGGTTGGTGGTGGAGGTTGAGGGGGTTGGTGGCGGAGGTTGAGTGGGGGTGGTGGTGGAGGTTGAGGGGGTTGTGGTGGAGGTTAAGTGGGGCTTGTGGTGGAGGTTGAGGGGGTTGGTGGCGGAGGTTGAATGGGGGTGGTGGTGGAGGTTGAGGGGGTTGGTGGCGGAGGTTGAGTGGGGTTTGTGGTGGAGGTTGAGGGGGTTGGTGGCGGAGGTTGAGTGGGGGTGGTGGTGGAGGTTGACGGGTTGGTGGCGTAGGTTTAGGGGGGTGGTGGCTGAGGTTGAGGTATCAAATTTAATATTTAAACAAACCGTAAAATATCCGATGAGAAATCTCATAGATCGGCGACACCATAATTTTCAAGAGTTTTCATCTCATTCTTACATGATCTCCACGACACCCTTCATAACTCCCCATGGCCCCAAGCCTCTACACTTCTTCTCCTTAGCCCCACAGCCTTCCTAACCCCAGCACAATCGTCCTCCATCTCAAACAACACATCTCTTCCAAAACGTCACCCAACATCCCCTTCCAACCCTAAAACTCCATCTTTGCTCTTAAAAAATTTAAAAAAAAAATAATAAAAAATAAATAAAATCACCTGACCTTCTCCACTATGACTTATTTAACATAATGATAATAAATAAATGCACCTGTCAGTTGTATCGAGTCAATTTGTATTAAACTAATACCTGCAACTGGAACATGTACAAACGTCTAGGACACTGATGTCCGAGCTTCTCTATGCTACATCGGGAGAAGACGAGTGCTTTGAGCCACATATGAATTAAACCAAAAATAGCTGTTGAGTACAAAGTGTAGCACATATAGTTAACATACTTAAGTAATTTAAACTTCATTAATTCTTGAATTTTATTTATTTATTATAATAGTAAAAGATGAACATGAAATTAGTGACAAGTTAGACATTTGACGCTGTGTTTGAGACGCTAATGTTTCGATATTTAGTTTGGCGAAGAAGTTGCTCCACTCAGTATGTTCCTATGGTGATCATTCGCTGTTTTGGTTCTTGATTTATTCTTGACAATGGAGCTCACTCGTGTAGTTGCTTCGAAATGACATGAACAAAGCAAGATTACGAAGCGAGGGATATTATCTCCTCTGGGACGAATTATCTAATAGAATCCCATAAAGAGGCATGATCGAATTTGAAAGTCAGATTGTAGCTCTATGTTTTCCATTTTAAACATGAGCAGGTAATGTCTTTATGTCGACTGGAGTGGATTCACAAAGATACCAAACAAAAGGATGATTTTTTTTTTCTCCGTGTGCCATTGGCCACCGCCAAGTTCTGGCACAAAGTTTGTTTTTGCTTTCATAAACGACAAATATTTCAAACATTTTACCTTGACTTAACCATCTCACTTCCGAAAAGTGAGTGCTGTCCATCATCGTCAGCCTCCGTAAGTTTAGTGAATTCCTGGTACTGACAATGCCAATCCCTTCGCCCTTATAAAATGTACAGACGCGATGAGAATCTGGGCGACGTTTTTTATATGGAAAGAAGTCGCGCACTAATTTGAATGTTATACTGTCCAGTGATATTTCATCATGCGTAAATTTCGGGAGGCTCTTGAGGCGTCTTCTATTAAAGTTACAAGTTCATATCTTTTACTAATTATCGCCAATTCACCAAAGTAACTATACCAGGTATGTTCAAAATGGACTAGGAATATAGCTTTAGCGTATATTTAAATTCTTGGTATAAATGTCTTTTCTAAGTTGTGTCTTTTATCGACTCTAACATATCAGTATACTAACATGTGCCCCGCAATCTAACATATACCCTGAAATCTAATATATGCCCCGCAATCTAACATATACCCTATTATCTAATACATACCACTCAATCTAACATATACCCCGTGATCTAACACATACCCGTAATCTAACATATTTCACAATCTGACATTTACCCCGCAATCTAAAATATACTCAGCAAACTAACAAATACCCTGCAATTTAACATCTAACCGCAATCTAACATATACCTCGCAATCTAACATATACCTTGGAATCTAAAGTATACCCCACAATCTAACATATGCACGAAATCGAACTATATACACCAAAATCTAACATATATCCCGCAAGCCAACATATATCTCGCAATCTAACATATACCCCACAATCTAACATATACCCCGCAATCTAACATATACCCCGCAATCTAACATATACCCCACAATCTAACATATACCTAGCAATCTAACATATACCCCGCAATCTAACATATACCCCACAATCTAACATATACCTAGCAATCTAACATATACCTAGCAATCTAACATATACCTAGCAATCTAACATATACCTAGCAATCTAACATATACCTAGCAATCTAACATATACCTAGCAATCTAACATATACCTAGCAATCTAACATATACCTAGCAATCTAACATATACCTAGCAATCTAACATATACCTAGCAATCTAACATATACCTAGCAATCTAACATATACCTAGCAATCTAACATATACCTAGCAATCTAACATATACCCCGCAATCAAAAAAAAAGTTTTGTAAGTTTACGATCTTTTTGTTGGACCACAGTCGTATTAGTCCTAAGCCGCATGCGGCCTGTTGCCGTCGGTTCGACACCCCTTGTCTTGGCTATCATGTCCCATAATTCTCATACCTCCTCGCTTGCCTTGCAACGAAACAAGCCATCTGAACAAGAGCCAGATTCGTCAAACGTAACTTACCATAGGTGTTGTTCTAATTTATTTATAAATTAATTGGGTGCTTTGGGGTAAAGTGAGACATTCTAATGTAAGAATGGATTTCTAGCTTTACCCTAATTTCTGGCGTTACCTCAATGTGACTCTTTTGTACATGTGTATTATTTATTTATTTATTTTTTTAAATCATTTAAAAAAAAAAAATCTGCTATAAGCTTATCTTATGAGAAAAACACAGATTCTGTTTGAGTTTTAGAAATAATTTATTTTAACTTGGACAGGTTTTAAATGCATCAATCAATCAATTAATCAATCAATTAATCAATCAATTAATCAATCATTATTTTTCCATTCAGAACAATAACAAATGTAATAGAAGTCATATTCAGATCAAGAGTGTTCTCTCAAAAGACGTTGCACTATTTGTTTAAAACCCCTGGAGACGCAAAGAAACAGAAAATATTTTCTACGTTTATTTGAAATATCATTAAATTTTAGGACAGATAATGTTCAACAAAGTAGAAATAATATGTCTACCTTTTACAAAAATAAATAATGACTACACTTTGAACTATGAATTTTTGTGTTAACAATAATTTATACCTCCCATCCAAACAGTTTCTTTTAAGGAAAATACGTATTTTACAAATTTTACTTTTGTTGTCAAACTAAAGATTTTAAGATTAACTTTTTATTCATTACCACAGAAATGATTGATGAACTTGAAGATTGTCAAATTAATTTTTAATGCAAATAAGCATTATTGCAAAAATTCTAGTTCGTTAATCTCAACAATATTTGAGGATCCTTCCATCCAGCTTATCAAAAAACAAAGACGTTCTACTTAAAAAAAATAACCAAAGACAACAAAAAAAAAAAAAAAAAAAAAAAAAAAAAAAAAAAAAAAAAAAAAAAAAAAAAAAAAAAAAAAAAAAAAAAAAAAAAAAATAAAAAAATAAAAAAAAATTTTTAAAAAAAAAAAAAAAAAAAAAAAAAAAAAAAAAAA